GTTTAGTTTTATGTGCCTTCTAAGCTGTAAACCATCTCTATCTGATCAATAAGAAAAGGACCATGTGTTTTCACATCTGCCAAATTTCAGAAGCTGGCGCTGGACTGGAGTGTAAGAGATGGGAGACTGGTAGATTCATCGAACCAAGAGTAAATCCGCACCAATTTGCAGCTTTGCTGTTCATTTCAAAGTTGACCGAATCCGAAGTAAGATACGGGGGGGTCAAGAGCTAGATAGATCCAGTTGGGCATTATGCATCGCTTTTTAAGGTGAAGAAGAGCTGGCAAATTGGCAATGGACTTTGGTCGATGATCAGGGAATCCCAGCATCAAAACAGCTTGGCCTCATCACCAAACCCTTCATCAACGGATTTTTTTTTTGCCTACAACTCTTGGTTTAATCGGATGGGCCCCGCATGAATCGGGTCCATCGCAGTCGTTACGCGGGATGATACCCATTAGAAGCACATCTTTGTACAGTTTGATTTTAGATTTACGCCTTTGTAAGCCTTTGGATGGCTCTGGACGAAAGCAATTTCGTGACGGATTCATTACATTGGACGGACCGTTTATCCCGAAAGTTTAAGATGTTTGAAAAAACGTGTCGCCAATGTGCTTATATCATATTATCGAATACTCATCCTCGCGTGTAAGCTAGTGCCTTACACTAGCAAGAGAGGATGCGAACCGAATCATGTCGACGAGACAAACAAGAAACACGAAAACCGGCACGATAACGGTAGAAAAACAAAGATTATATGCTATGATTTGAAATCTCGACACGTGCTTCGATACCATGTTGCAAAGTACGGGGAGAACCAACTAGACTTTTGGCTTTGAGAGCATCTAATCCATGAATCACTCGGATGTGTCATGAGCCTTTGGATCATCTAGCAGAGATGAACTTACCCGTCCCACAGAAAAAAGAACGAAAGAGATTCTTGAGATATTGTAACTCAAGCGCTAAGGAAGAAGTCGAAGTGATTGTTGGAGCAATAGAGGGTGATGTGAGTCTCTCCCATGAAGGAAGGCCCAGGCCCAAATGAAGTTGCAAGCAACAACAATTCAAAGCCCAAGGAAGAAAAAGCAATGTCTTGAAGAACATCTCCATGGCTGGAGGATATTTCACATGTTACTTCTGATTCGAGATAATCAAGGATTAATTTATGGTAAGTTGGTGAATAACGGACCTAGAGTGACCGCCTTTCACGCTCAAATTGAACACTAAAATCCAATCTTGGGGTAAGATCCAGAGGCAAGAATAGTATGCGGGATCTAATCTTTTCAAATATTTTTCCACCGTTAGTTGTTGATCTAAGGGATAACGACACCAACAGTCTCATGAACTTTGACTAAATATGTAATGTGGTCAATGAACGTTTAATTTATTCAAACTGGTCCTTGAACTTTAGCTCAATGCGGTCCTCTAACTTTTAATTTGTTCAGTGTGATCAATGTATTTTTGGTATATGTTCAATGCGGTCGCTGGACTACATGAAAATGTTCATCCATGAACTTGAATCAATGAAATGATAATATTGAATATTTTCATATAGTTCAGGGACTGCAATGTATTTTTGATATATGTTCAATGCAGTCACTGGACTATATGAAAATATTCATCCATGAACTTGAATTAATGAAATGACAATATTGAATATTTTCATATAGTTCAGAAACTGCAATGTATTTTTGGTATATGTTCAATGCAGTCACTGGACTATATGAAAATATTCATCCATGAACTTGAATTAATGAAATGACAATATTGAATATTTTCATATAATTCAGAGACTGCATTGAAAAAGTATCGAAAGTCCAATGACTGTATCGAACAAATTAAAAGTTCAGGGACGACATTACACGCTGAGTTAATTCAAGGATCATATTAAATAAATTAAAAATTTAGGGACTATCCGTATGAATATTTTTCTTAGATCTAAGGATGAATTCCAACTGCCACCTTTCTCTGCTCAGTCAACTCCGGAATCGGGGAAAGTCAAAATGCACTGAATCCGATGAAATTGACCGACTACTGAAACTCCCACGGCGGTTCAGATCTCAGCCCCCCCACGCGGCGGCCACGTCGCGCGTCCCTCCGCCACAAAAAATCGGTTCCTTTTTTTTTAATTCCGTTTTTATTTCAATCTACTTATCCTTTTCCCGGGGCCCACCACGGGATTTGACCCGCTCGATTTTTTACACGACGCGGGCCGTAACCATCGAGCTGACGTGGAATGCACCTCCCGCCAATCGGCATCGGCCGTACGCGCCAGCTGTCCCCGCCGCCGCTCCCCCTCCCTCCAGCTGGCGCGTGGAGTGGAGAACCCCCCGCAGCGAAAAGTAGCCGTTGCTGTTCCAAACGCGGCAGCTTGCCGACATGGCCGACCTTCTCTCTCACTTACCAGTCTTCCTTCTTCGTAATTAATTGAAAAAGTCACTGTACTTAAGACACGTTCATTAAGCCGCAATTACGATTATTTAATGCACATGCTTTTGTCGTTCGTTTTTTTTGGTCACGACGTCGACCCTTGAATTCAATAACTTAAACATATAAAGCGCAGGAAAAAGGGAAAGCACGACATGGAGGTAGCAATTATTTCGACCGCGTGGGCCTCGACCGTCGAATTCGCCCCTTTTTCGGTTATCCCCGAGCATTATCATTTCCGGGTTTTTGCTAACAAGCATCTGGGCGCTAATTAAATTTGATCAGATCACGAGCTTAATGCTTTCGGAGGGGCACGAAAAAGAAGAAGATGAAGAAGGTAAAATGAAGGAATTTCGCTGTCCGACAAAAATCGTTATGGCGCCACCACGCTCGAACGAGGGATGGCACGAAAAGAGAGCTTCAATTATCTTAACTACTAAGGACACTGTTATTTTGCTTACGGATCACGATCACTTCGATCACCTTTTTCTCGTGTAAAGCTAAAAAGAAAAGGTTAATACCACGAAAAATTCCAAAGTGGTACACCTGTGATAAATTTACCTAGAACTATTTTTTTTTACCACAAAAAATCATAAACCGGTAAACCTGTGATAATTTTACCCCGAACTAATTTTTTGACCACAACGAACCCAAAACTAGTACATTTGTGATAATTTTACCCCGAACTAATTTTTTGACCACCAAAAACTCAAAACTGGTACATCTGTAATAAATTTACCCTCCGTTAGTATCCGTTAAATTATATTAATATCACGAAAAATCATAAATTAGTAAACTTGTAACAAACAGATGGGTAAAACTCCAAAACTGGTACACCCATCAACTACCACGTGTCATCAAACCGAACAAATTGACAGTAAAATTTAACGGAAACTAACGAAGGGTAAATTTGTCACAGATGTACCAGTTTGGGGTAAATTAATTCCGGGTAAAATTGCCACAGGTGTATCAGTGTGGGATTTTTGGTGGTCAAAAAAATAATTCAGGATAAAATTGTTACAGGTATATCAGTTTGGAGCTTTTATGGTAAAAAAATAATTGGATGTAAATTTGACATATGTATATCAATTTCAGGTTTTTCCAGGTATTAAATCAAAAGAAAAAAAAAAAGAAGCAAAGAGAAAAAAGCGGCTGATTACTTCCCTCCCCCGTCTAATCACTACTAATTTTGACTTTAATGAGATAGCTTATGAAGTCACTGGGACCCACAAAAACGTGGACAGCACACAGCACATCGCAGCACACCTAACGCACCGATACGTCGGCACACGCTTCTCACACACACTGTACCCGTTTGCCTCTCTCTCTCTCTCTCTCTCTCACCATCATCATCATCGTCTCCCTTCCTCCCGCAAAAATATAAAAATGCAAACAAAACCAAAGCACGAGCGAATTATTACAGACAGAGAAAGAGTGAGAGAGAGAGAGAGAGAGAGAGAGAGGAGGCGACGTTTATCCACGAAAATCTGCTGCTTCGTTTTCGTGCTATGAAGGTTCAACCTGTGGGGACGGCGACCTTCTTCTCCTCCTCCTTCCTTCTTCCTCTTCCTTGAGCTCTGAAGGCGCTGGATTGTGCTTTGCCTGCGGCAGTGGGCGAGGAATGTTCTTGGTGTAAGCGGCGGACCCCAAGCGATTCGAAGCTTCCCCCGCCGGCTCTCTCTCCCCCTCTCCGATTCAAGCTTCGGATCTGCTGATCTCTCTTCTCCGACTCCCTCCTCGCTTCGGTCCCCTTCGCCCCTCGCGGCTGGTCCTAGTCTCGGAAAGCATTGGCTCCGCGGAACGGTGAGGTTCCGATTTTTTGTTTGGGAGCTCTGGTTTCTTTTATTGATGGTGTCATAGCGCCAAGCGTGGCGGTGGAGTCGGCAGTTTCGCGGCTTGAGTGGGTCCCGGTGCTGTGGGTTTTGTTCTTGGACGGCGGCCCTGAGTTTCGGTCGGAGAAGTTTGCGGCCAGAACTAGGGAGAGTTTTAAACAATCTAGGCAAGGGGACTGTGTGGAAAAAAGGCTGAAAAATAGTTGCTTTGCGGCGCACGGCGTGTTCCTCAGGCTTTTTGATGTTTATGGAAACTTGAGGGTGTGGAGTGTGGACTGATCTTTTGCCATTTTGAGGTTTGAGAGGAGAGCGGGTTGTGAGTAAAGTGGGTAGTGGGCCTATGTATCGATGGTCGTATGGCTGTCTGTCTGTGTTGTACTATGAGATCACTCTTGTGTGTAGGTAGGGGGGGGGGGGTGACGCTGTTTCGATGTGGTCGCGGAACGGATGCTCGGAGCATGCCTCGTTTTTTTCCCTTACTGCTTGGTTTTTTCTTTGAGGAAAATTGATACACCTGCCTAAAATCAACGGAGGCATTGGAACATGGGGTGGTGAATCGTGAATTGCCTCGGGATTGAATGCTTTGTCGTGATTAGAACTTGTTTGCTTGCTTGCTTGCCTTTTTATTTTCTGTCGTTTTTTGGTCGTGAGGGAACTTCGTGGGGATATCAATTTCTCATTTTATTTTTCAAAAATACGTATCGAGAGCTTGTGCTGACATTTCTTTTTCTTATTCTGCAGGTGGAGTTTTTTTTTTTTTCCTTTTTTTTAAAGGAACGGACATATGGCTACTCTTTCGGATATAGGACTTGCTGCAGCAATCAATATTCTCAGTGCATTTGTGTTCTTCGTGGCTTTTGCCGTTTTAAGGCTTCAACCTTTCAACGATAGAGTCTATTTCCCTAAATGGTATCTCAAGGGCTTACGAAGCAGTCCGACTCGTTCGGGGGCATTTGTTCGCAAGTTTGTCAACTTGGACTTCCGGTCATACATTAAGTTTTTAAATTGGATGCCAGATGCGCTCAAAATGCCTGAACAAGAACTTATTGAGCATGCGGGATTGGATTCTGCTGTTTACTTGAGAATTTATCTGATGGGGTACGCCGAAGTAGATTTTGACCTCCCTTCCTTTTGCATGGATGTGTCATGCCACATTTGATTAACGTCGTTATCTCTTATTAATTCATCCTGGATTCATGCAACTGGATGCAGGACAATAGTGCCATCATATGTTTCCTACTGCAATTGCACAATTGGCTTCGTTTGCTTTTGCTTTGATGATCTTTGGTTGCATCTGTGGATTAATGGCATGGTCACATGTTCCCTAACTCCGTTTGAAGTAATATCTTACTCAAGTTTGAAATGATATCATACTCAAGTTGTGGCCTTTAGTTAACTAAATCTTCATATGCCACTGTTTGTCGTACGGGAATGAGAACCTGTATGCCTATTGTCATAAAAGAAGCATGTTGGGGGTAGATTAGATGGTGTTTAGTAGTATATTTGCAGGGAAAAAGCTACAGCTTTTAAAAGATTGCTTCAGCTTCAATAAAGTGTTAGGTAAATGGTTGGACATTGAAGCTTCCCAAGTTGCAAAACCTCTTAGGTGCTCTTCCAGGAGCTGCCCTAGTTTGTTCTAAGATGTTGCTCTGGTAAAGGTAACTCCAAAACATGTAGAGCAAAAGTCATTACTATTTGTGGCTACATCATATCCCAACTCAGCTACGACAACATCACTGCAGCACCTTTATAGAATACCAAACGGGCCTATAAATCCAGCAGAAAAGGGGACCTGCATCATTTTTGTAGTTTTTTATATGTGATATGCAATTTTGGTGCGTATAAGAATTGTTGATATGGATGAAGTTGCATGACTTGAAAACGAGGGAAAGAACAAATAAGGCAACATTGGCTACTTGTACGATTGCAGGTTAATTTGATTACAGCCAAGTAAGATCTTTTTACACTAAGCATGTCTCACTGTTTGATTTTCTCCGGTATGAGGATTGCGGAGTCCAATCTATTGATGTACCAAACATGTCAGGAAATATTCTCTAAAATCGTCCTGTATAGCTAAAAATCTGTTCAGTTGGCAATGCACAACTGTAGATGCATTAAATACTGTTCTTCAAATTTCTCCATGTCATTAATGCAGACTGAAGATTTTTGTTCCCGTGGCATTCCTGGCGTGGACTATTTTGGTACCAGTAAATTGGACAAACAGCACTCTAGAGCTAGCCAAGCTTAAGAATGTAACTTCGAGCGATATTGACAAACTCTCAATTTCAAATATCCCACAGCAATCGAATAGGTATGGAACTTTTGCTTATTTGATCTGGCTTTCTTTTACCCTTTTGTTTGTGTTAATCACCAATGTGAGTCTGTGTTCCAGTGGTTGATGAGCTGCTAGTCCGTATTCAGTTTGGGGCTTGACTCCAATTGTAGTGGACCTGTTGCTTATTTTCACATGGCTTGCTCTACAGGCTTTAAGTTTAATCTTTTGTAGTATTTTAGTTGTATTGAAATAATTGACCCAGGATGAAAGGATAAAGAGAGTTTCACTGAAAAATTGGAAAGGAGTTATTCTGCAATTGGTGGGTTCACCAAATCTGTAACCTTGGACGGTGCCTTTGCAGAGGTTCCAGAGTGGCTATTCGCCCAGGCAACAATATAAAAAGTTATGCTACATATATTGACATTTACATTTCATTAATGTCATGAGACCGTTATTTAACATCTTTTTCTTTTTGACCAATTATTTGAAAAGGACTAGTTTTGGCTTTATATGGTGTTGGAAATTGTCGGTGTTATCTTATGTACTGTAATTGCGTGTAGTGGTCTGAAATTGGACTACATTCATTTTGATAGTCATGATATCTGACTCCACTTGAACCCAAGTACAAATATGACCTTTTTCCATGTTTGTTAGAAACAAAGTTCAGTTAGCGGTCCTGGATATAGGTAAATCTTGCATTAATTAATTAGTACTTGATTTAGACGTTTCTTGTGAAGAGCAAATGTCATTCTCTTTAAGGGTGTTATGTAGGAAAGTTACTGCCATCTAAATCACTAAGGAAATAAAAGGAGGAGATCCAACTAACCTTCTATAAACATGAGAAAGAAATGTTATTTTCATTTGCATCAGTAACATCACTTCAATGGTTACTAAACTCTGGTTATATTTTGGTAATGGTTATCAGCTAACTATTCGTTTTATACTCCATGTGGCAGGTTTTGGGCTCATATTATAATGGCTTATGTCTTCACCTTGTGGACATGCTATGTTTTGCTTAAGGAGTATGAGATGGTTGCTTCAATGCGGCTGCAGTTTCTTGCATCAGAACGGCGACGCGCTGATCAATTTTCGGTAGGGTGGACTGCATGTGTCGTTTGGTGCCAATTCAGCTAGACAGATGATTGTTTATTAATCTTGATTTGGTTGAAATCTTTAATTTTGGAACTTTTTTTTTGGTTGCTTTAGTTTTGGAACTTGGAGGCTATTTATTGCGAGGGTTTCTCTGTAACATCCTACATTTTTCTGTGGAACCAAATTTTAACAGGTACTTGTCAGAAATGTTCCCCCAGATCCGGATGAGTCTGTTAGTGAGCTTGTGGAGCACTTTTTCTTGGTTAATCATCCGGATCATTATCTGACCCATCAGGTTGGCTTGACGAAACTGAATATCTTTCTAGAATAAATATGGTTGGTATTTTCTATGGGAACAGCTACATTGTGGCTTCATGTTTCTTGTCAAGATTTAAACATCACGCTGTTGAAATCCATTTGCTCATCGTTCTGCTTTCTAGAATCTGCGATAGCTTCTATCTGTGTGACCATTCCCTTATGGCATATATGAATCTTGTTCTGTGCTTTATACACCATTTATTGCTGCAAAAGTTTTCCCTTTGACACCAGAAGACATTTCCTTCTCCCCCTCCATTTCGACCTTTTGCTGCCTCACCCTGTCCATTAGGAAGATGTTCCAGCTATTGTTGGACAATTCCTGGATAGCGTCAGGCCAGTTATTTGTGCTTTTGTAATGGTCTTCTGTTAACCTATGAGAAAGTTTTAGCCAAATGAAGAATTCAAAGACTAGTTTTTTTTTTTTCAACTTTGTCGGACAGATTATCGTAATTTTCTAATGTGTCATATGCTTTTCCATCCATGGAATCGTTTGTGCATGCTTTTATTCGGAGATAATACTATGTCTTCAATTCCTTTGAAATTTTCTGCAGGTGGTGTATAACGCAAATAAGCTTGCTCAGTTGGTCAAGAAGAAGAAGAAAATGCAGAACTGGCTAGACTATTATCAGCTAAAGTATGATAGACATAATTCAAAAAGACCCTTTACAAAGGTACTAAAGAGTATCAGAGATTTCTATAGACTGCATCTTCAGCTGATAGTTTTAATGGTTTTTTTTCATTGATGCGTTGGGTTACTTACATCATTTCGTGATTATCCTCCTCTTTCCAGACTGGCTTTCTTGCGCTCTGTGGGAACAAGGTTGATGCTCTTGATTATTATAATTTGGAAATTGAGAAACTATCAAAAGAAGTAAGCAACTGATGCCTATGTTTGTTTCTGTGAAAACCAAACGATTAATCAAGGATCGAATTAATGAGAGAATCATCTTCTGTTCAGATAGTTGCAGAAAGAGAGAGAGTTGCAACTGATCCAAAGTCTATAATGCCTGCTGCATTTGTTTCCTTCAAAACGAGATGGAGTGCCGCTGTCTGTGCACAGACTCAACAGTGCAGAAATCCAACTCTATGGCTCACTGATTGGGCTCCAGAGCCACGTGATGTGTATTGGCAAAACCTTGCCATCCCATATGTTTCTCTTACAATCAGAAGACTAATAATGGCCGTTGCGTTCTTTTTCCTCACCTTCTTTTTCATGATACCCATTGCTTTTGTGCAATCTCTGGCAAGCATTGAGGGGATTGAGAAAGTAGCTCCTTTTCTCAAGCCCATTATTGAAATGTAAGTCAGGTTTTTTCTTATCTCTCAACTTTTTAAATTTCTAATTGCATCAAATTGATTTAGCAATATGTTTTGATGGAAATTAACTTTATTTTGACGATTTATCTTGCAGCGGTTTCATTAAGTCGTTCATCCAGGGTTTTCTGCCTGGGATTGCGTTGAAGCTTTTTCTCATTTTCCTCCCTACAATATTGATGATCATGTCTAAATTTGAAGGCTTCATATCTCTATCATCTCTTGAAAGGAGATCAGCAACTAGATATTATCTTTTCAATCTTGTGAATGTATTCCTCGGGAGCTTAATTGCTGGTTCTGCCTTTAAGCAGCTAGACTCATTCGTTCATCAGTCGCCCAGCCAGTATGTCAAGGCTATCTTTTTCTTCATATCTCCTTTATTTCCAAATAAGTTGCAATTCAGTGCCTGCCGCCCTTCTGGCCTTGGATAGATAGGAGGCGAAAAGTGCATTACACGCATTTATACAACCATACATATTTTATGCACACGCACACACACACAATGACGTATAGACAGATAGCTGTATTCACGCCTGTACTATGTTTCTGTATGCTTGCGGGTGCTCTGTGTGTGTGTGTGTGTGTGTGTGTGTGTGAGAGAGAGAGAGAGAGAGAGAGAGAGAGAGAGAGGGGAGGAGGGGGGGGGGGGGAGGGGTGAGGATTATACGAAAATCTGTGGCTGTGAAACGAGGAAACCCTCAAATCTTTCAACCAGGCATTGTTATTCAGTATTATTAGGCGTAATTTCTGTTTGATTTAGAATGCAGTGTGTAATCCTATTATGTATGACCTAGGATGAAGCTGTTAATACGCTGCTTTTGGTGTATTAATTCAGTATTTGCATGTCTCCTGTTTGATATAATATTGTTTTGGCTATTGTGCTGGGCCTTGACTTAAGATTACAAGAGTGTGCTTAAGTTAGTTGACCTTGGAATGACTTTATTCTGGGTGACAATACTGGCCTATTAAGCAGTTGCCCTTTGGGCAGCTAATTTTTTTCTCCAATTTTATGTACTTGCTAGCTGTTCTTCTGGACAAGATTTCATACATGTTTACTTTTTTTTGGCAGAATTCCTAAAACAATTGGGGTGGCCATTCCCCAGGGAGCAACTTTCTTCATTACTTACATTATGGTTGATGGTTGGGCTGGAATAGCAGCAGAGATTCTAATGCTGAAGTCTTTGATTATCTACCACTTGAAGAATTTTTTCTTGGTGAAAACTGAAAAGGATAGGGAGGAGGCAATGGATCCTGGAAGCATTGGTTTCAACACTGGAGAACCTCAAATTCAGTTTTACTTCTTACTGGGGCTTGTATATGCTACAGTGACACCTGCCTTGCTTCCTTTCATACTCGTTTTCTTTGGCCTGGCTTATGTCGTGTTTCGTCATCAGGTATTATGATGATAATGATTGGGAATATCTTCTTTGAAGTTTTATCTACTCAGTTGCCTGAAATGTAGGAACAGCTATGGGACTTTCAATCATGATTAATCTCAGTTATGATGATATTACATGTGGTGGTTCTAGGAAAGTTTTTGTGAGTTATTATTACCAAGGGGATGAGGGGATCACTAGATTGCCGGAAAATTTCAAAGGGTGACCAGAAAAGTTGCAAATAGGCGGTCCTTATGTTGTGCACCCAGATTTCTTCAAAAGATCAATATTTTATTCAGATTCGTTACCTAAAAACTTAGGCTGGTGAGACTCTGAAGGGGAGGTCATGATGTCCTTATGTTGTGCACCCAGATTTCTTCAAAAGATCAATATTTTATTCAGATTCGTTACCTAAAAACTTTGGCTGGTGAGACTCTGAAGGGGAGGTCATGATGTTGAAATTTTTCTTGTTTCTAGATCAATGGTGTTATAGATTTTCTGCAGCACCTATAGTAATGGTTTTGACTTTATATTTAGGGTGCATGTTGGGATATCTTCCAGTCGCTTATACATACGTCCTTGTTTTTAAGTAACCAATGTTTGATGCATCCTGTTAAGCCCTTCTTCTTCTTCTTCTTCTATGATTCCATCATGTTTGTCCTAACATCTTTTGAATATTCCAGATAATAAACGTCTACAATCAGGAGTATGAAAGTGGTGCAGCATTCTGGCCTGATGTGCATGGTCGCGTTATTGTTGCATTGGTTATATCACAGTTGCTTCTATTTGGACTGTTGGCTACAAAGGAAGCTGCCAATTCAACTCCATTCCTCATTGCTCTTCCAGTTCTCACCATCTATTTCCATAGGTTCTGCAAAGGCCGTTATGAACCTGCCTTTGTTAGATATCCATTACAGGTCCGTAATTTTTAGGCTTTGCAAACAGGTGTTTTTATGTCCATAGAAGTAATTGAAGTCTTGTGCTTGAGTTTCTCTAATGTGCTAACTTGCTTGATTTCTTTCCAATTTGCTGGATCCTGGCATCTAAATAGAAGATGATTGTTGCTTTTAATTTTGACCGATCATTCAGTGAAGGCATTAGCGTAGAACATCCCATGTTAGCCCTGATGGGATTTTTTCGGGTATCACTAATATGGCCAGTCCATCCGGATAAGAGATAACTTATATAGGGAGACAGGCCCGAAAGAGGTTTCTGGATTTGTATAGTTGTACTGTATGGCTGCATTTCTTTTTATCTTTGACTATTTGGATAATGTTATTAGGTCTGTGATGTTGATAATTAGGGAAAAGCGAAAGTGAAAACAAAAGAAAGCTGAAAGTTATTCTCGTGATGTTTGGTTTGGTCATTGTTTTCAGGAGGCAATGATGAAGGACACTCTAGAACGTGCGAGGGAACCGAACCTGAACCTGAAGAGCTTCCTTCAAAATGCATATCTCCACCCAGTATTCAAAAGTGCGAATGACGACGACGACGAAGACGACGACGATTTTGCTGAGAAGTGGGAAAACGAGAGTGTCCTCGTTCCCACAAAGCGGTCGTCCCGTAGGAACACTCCGCTGCCTAGCAGAATCAGTGCCACGTCATCACCGTCTCTGCCCGAGGTTCATGAAGATTCCCAGCCTTAAGTTTCGGGGCAGGGGACTTGTATTTTAGCTGTAAATTAGGCCCTTAAGAGAGAAGGGTTTCTTGTGAATTAGATGAGCTTATGAACAACACAAACGCAGTTTGAGTATTTTGTTGTATAGAGAATAGGTAGGCCGTTGAGCGGGTTATCTGCTGAATACTAAAGTAGCTTGCAAGATGTACTTAGTTTCAATACCTTCAATATAACGTGCATCTGAGACACTTTTTCGTGGTATACAATGTAAGCTCTCGTGACTCTGATGTTCTCTTAGGAGGATTGAACGTCCTGGAAACTTTACAGATCATGAGAGAGGTGAGTTTACTCCATTTGGTAGCTTAATAAGACACGGCCTGCATTGATAATTTATGAACTAGAGAGACTTGAGATCGTTGTTCAGGCTATCTCCGGGTAGTTTTACACGGGATAGCGATGGACGTAGATGGCTCGACAGGAAAGACGGCAAGCTATGCAATTTCTAGTGGCCATGTCGAGCGTGTTTCGGCCAGGGGTTGGGAATTGGCAGGGGGTCGTCGAGTTGTTGCTCGGGAGTGTGACATAACAACTTGAAGAAGTAGTCCGAACTAACTATTTAAGGGAAAAAAACAAGACAAGACTGATCTTTTAAGCTTGAACTAGTTCACTTGGCTTCATGTTACAATTACAGGTCATCAAGGAATGCCACCGACCTTAAAGTTTAGTGTCCATGTGTCGGTAAAAAGATAGATGAACAAAGTGGGCATATATAAAGAACAAATTCTCATGATGAACATCGGACTATTTTGACAACACATAAAATACTTTCCATGCTGCCGCCTAGAAATAAAAGAAACCCTGCAATAATTATGCCAACTAGTCTTCCAGACAGGACAGTGGCATTGTACCGGAGTACCCTCAACCATCAGAAATTCATTAACCAAAGATTGGGAAGAAAAGATATTTTTCTCTTGCAATCCCAGAGAGAGAGAGAGAGGTTTGTGATGGTGGCCACGATTGTGATGGTAGCCGTTGCGTGCAAGGGCTGGTACGAGACTTGCCAAAGTGGCAATGATGAGTGATGAAGTCTTTCGGGGCGAGAGGAAAAGGAGAGGAGGGGAGGAGGGGAGAGGGAAAAAGTGACTGCTGTAATATTTATGTTATGGTGTTTGGCATCGAATTGTCACGTGGCGTAAATGTAACGATTCGACCTATTTTATAGGAACTGAATCTCAAAAGTAGTGCATTAAGTAGACACGCAAGGTGGTGGCCATTGGTGATAGATCTTACTTGTGAATAATATCATTAGATCACGCCTATCAGATGCAGGACTTCGCGTGTCTTCATTTAAACCAGTGACGTACTCATTGGTGTTGATTGTACTGCCCAGCGATAATCACCCCAATAGATATGTACCGATTCATTTTTGTCCCATCTGCCAAGTCAAAGTCCCGTTAGGATCCGCATTTTATTCGAGCCCTCATTCCCTGCCTTCATCGGATTGGCCATGAGCCTAGTCCGTCTAAGAACCACACACTTCCTAAAGAAGGTCCTTCCCTGATACCAACCAACCGATATCAAGTGTGCCGAATCCCCAAAAAGAAATGCATAAAATAACCACACAAGATGATGCCTATTAGAGGGTGGTTTTTACTCATAAGTAACTTTATAAACTCGCCCTTCCGATGTGGGATTTTGGGTGTCGCGGCGAATTTAACGGCCACTTAAATAATAGCATTGGTAATTATATAAGGCTAAGCGAGTGAAGTTAAATTTTTCTTGTGGAAACAAAACTGATTGAACTTTTCTTGTGGCGAAAAAGAAAAGAGAATTCGAAACTTTTCATCGTTTGGGGAAGAAGAGGAAAGAAAATGGAGATAAATGGAAATGAGGTCAAGCTTTTAACCTAGGACATACACGCATTCTAATAACATAAACGCCCAACGTTTTTTTATTTTTATTCCTTTTGGGACTTTATTATTATTTTCTATAAAAAGATAATCTTGTTGGAAGTTTCTCCGACAGCGCCATACTCCCAGAAAGTGGATCGGTCCACTCAGCTTTACACTAAGTGTTAGGATTCGGCACAAAATCACAAGAAAATAGAGAAAAAAGCGAGAAAAAGAAATCGAGACACGAGATTTTATCATGATTCACTCTTAAGCTAAAGCTACATCCAGCACATGATTCCACTATAATTAGCACCTCGCAACTCTATAGTTACATCCCTCAATTACAAGAGAGAGAGACTATATATACTCAGTAGCTATTCATGAGTCCAAACTCAAACTACCAATAAAATGCGAACCTAAACTATAAAAGTCCTCTGGTTCATCCTTAAACTAGAGCACCCCGTGCCTTCTTGTCGCTGGAGAGTATGAACCACGTCCCAATACTATGAATAAGAAGGAAGCAATTAGGTCAAGGCTGCGATTGCGAGCGCTTTGGATGGGTGCGGTGTCGCTAGGAGAGGTTCTGCGAAAGGGGATGGCTTTTAGGACCATCCTCGAGTCCGTTGGCCTGGTCTTATCCTTTTACCTCAGTGTTTTGACGGTTAAAGAAGTCGATTAAAGAAAGTTTATTATTCTTCAATACAAGTTTTTTTTTTTTTGCGTGCGATAAACATTTTTGAAAATCAAAAACATACTTCATGTTGTAAAATATTACGCTGCAAGAATATAATAGAGAGAATAGAGAGAGATTAAGTAGAGAAAGTAGATAAACACCAAAGATGGTAGAGAAAGTCAAAGGAGAAATTTTATTTTCACTGTATATTTTCCTCTTTCATTCTCTTCTTCTGATCTGATTTCTTACCCAATGACAAAAAATAAGCTCCTATTTATAAGGAAACAAGGATGCATATATCATTAATGTCAATGTATTGAATATATACATTGAATAGGGAGATGGGCATTCATACGTAGAATGTAGGTTACGAATGTGCCATAATAGGTACACTGAATATTCATTCATGTATGTAGGTTACGAATGTGCCATAATAGGTACACTGAATATAATGAATATTCATTCATGTATTTCATAACACTTCATTATATATATATTTAACAAGTGGCCGGAAAATGTTCTCATTAATGCTTAGTCGTTATTTATATACGCAGATGTCATGAAATAGAATGACACGAGTGCGACCATTGCACATTGTCACGCCCCGAACCCCAACGAGCTCGCGACATCCCGCTCCGGTCGAAATATTGCGACGTCCCAGGAACGTCGCCGACCCAACCCAAACATCAGAGCCACATGCGGAAGCGAATAACAAAATCCCGGACAAATAATGACGACAACGGGGTAGAACAACAGAACAGTCCAGTAACCACATATTCATACAACACCAAATATACAAACATCATATTCCAGACATAAATACAGACTAACATCCTCAGTCACCGTTTAAACAAAAGATCGAGGTCTGGTTAACTTAACTTCCCTATGGGTCAACCCGATTTACACAACCCCTAAAACCCTAGGGAAAAACCTAAGGATCGCCCTCGTCCAGTCTGCTTCTGAATCTTCGGGTCTGAGCCTCCAGACACTCACCTGCAACTCCACTGGGCACCAACAGCAGCTCCCCGGACTTCCAAAAAGAAAAGGCGCACTTCCGGGTTTAGGGCCGGGTTCGAAAGTGGCGGTTATACAACCGTGAGACGAATCTCAATAAGTGTACAACCCCAAACCCCACGTAGGCACTCACGTACCGCCGCACGAAAACACACATAACACACAACGATCGGCCAAACTAACAATCACATGCGACCCTACCGGAATCCATCACGCACGTTCCCGCACGTTAGACAATAACACGACCAACACATCACAAGAAGGAATCACGGACGCGCGCGTGCCTCAATTATAAGACAAAACCACTTGGGCACGTCCCATACCGTGCCTAGCGCTTTCTACCCCATAATTAAGCATCACATCACGCGATACAAACACACTCGCACGCTACTCACACCATGCGTCACTTTCCACAATCCTCTCGCTTGTCTTGCCAAATCCCACTCATTTTCAACCTTTCCACCACTACCGCGCCTGCGTAAAACGCATCAGGCCAACGGTCTTCTGACCTCGTCAGGCATCGTCACCCCGTCGAGCCGGGCATCGTCACCTCGTCAGGGACGGCATCGTCCCGCGTAAACGTACACGCCTCAGGACGGAATCCTACACACACTTTCCTTCTACCGTGCCCGCGTAAAACGCATCAGGCCAACGGTCTTCTGACCACGTCAGGCATCGACACCTCGTCAGGCCGGGCATCGTCACCTCGTCAGGGACGGCATCGTCCCGCGTAACGTACACGCCTCAGGACGGACCTTTCCAACCAAACCACATTTCCATATCCTCGTTCCACTCAAACCACACTTACACACGGCCAACAACCACACGACCCAACACAATTCCACATTGCACGCACAATTCACAAGTCACATACACTTCGCAAATATACATTCTCACCACGCAAGTACACCACACAATCATGCACATATAACACGCGACCCCAAAGTACAATCACACATTCTTGGCACGCGAACATATTGCGCAATCGCACTGCCACACCATCACACCTCACGGCCACACACGTGACATATACGACCACACGTACACAACCCGAAACACAATCCCAAATCAGCCAACTACCACAAATCGCACAATCACGCACAAATTTCCATTCAAGGCACAATTCCAATAATTAACCGCACAAATTAATTCCGATCAAACCTCAACATCACAGCCCTAATCCAAGCTCCCTAAACCTCAAAATTCTTCGCCTAATCAGTCCGCGACCACCAAATAATCAGTCACTCAAATCAGTCCCGAACAGCCCCTAAAACAGTCACAAAATCGCCTAAACCGGGTCCTCAACGAGTCTAGAAATACCCGAGCTCCTAGGTAGTTTTTGGGGGAGACACTTACCTAAAAAACGGGGCTGGAACGGGCCGGGACAGCGGCAGCAGCGGGAGCAGCGTCGTCGGCGATGTACGGACGGCGTGAACAGTGCTCCGTACGGGACGCGGTGAACAGTGCCACTCCGTACGGACACTGTACAAACAGGGCTGGGCGGTGGCCGGCGAGGTGCCGGTAACAGCCGCGGCGTCCGACGGCCCGACGTGAACAGTGATCCGTACGGACGGTGAAGAGTACCCCGACGGACACCTGTACGGACCGTGGCCGGACGGCGACGTACGGCTAGGGCTGGACGGCCGGGTGTCGACGGACGGCGACGGAGTTCTGGCGAAGCTCCGGC